CTTGATTCAAATTTATTAGCCTTATTAAGTGCATGAACTGCTTCCGCTGCATGGCTAGAAGACAGTGCACCACGTTTCTGTTCTTCTTCTAAGGATGGACTGACCAGGTGATTAATTTCTCTGACCGAGTTCTACGTGTTAGAATCCAAACTCAACTTGATTTCATCTACTGTCCACTACAATCCATGTACTATAATTTGATACAGAAAAGAAAGTTTTCCACGTGAATTATTAGGTGAAATGAATGATCAAAAGTGGTTGGTGTTCTGTCTTGAAGACAGAGATGTCCAACCCAATAGACTGGTATGTTGCTCTTGGATCTAGTGCCCTATCCAAGATATCTGTGAATGAGATACTTTGAGTCAAGCAGATCACTGTGTACAACGAACGAATAATGGCTTTGTCAGAGGGTGTGTGCGTGTGCACACAGTGACAACATAAGTGACAACATAACAGTAAGAGAGAGAGCATACCATACCTTTAAAGTTTACCTTTTATTTATAGAGATTACCTGTGAATAATATGATATGGACTATAGGGGTTACCTCTGATGAGGGGCCAAGCCCATTTGTCATGTCGTCGCATTAGGATTGGTATCTTGTAGTTATACTTGATTCAAATTTATTAGCCTTATTAAGTGCATGAACTGCTTCCGCTGCATGGCTAGAAGAAAGCGCACCACGTTTCTGTTCTTCTTCTAAGGATGGACTGACCAGGTGATTAATTTCTCTGACCGAGTTCTACGTGTTAGAATCCAAACTCAACTTGATTTCATCTACTATCCACTACAATCCATGTACTATAATTTGATAGAGAAAAGAAAGTTTTCCACGTGAATTATTAGGTGAAATGAATGATCAAAAGTGGTTGGTGTTCTGTCTTGAAGACAGAGATGTCCAGCCCAATAGACTAGTATGTTGCTCTTGGATCTAGTGCCCTATCAAGATATCTGTGAATGAGATACTTTGAGTCAATCAGATCACTGTGTACAACGAACGGATAATGGCTTTGTCAGAGGGTGTGTGCGTGTGCACACAGTGACAACATAAGTGACAGCATAACAGTAAGAGAGAGAGCGTACCATACCTTTAAAGTTTACCTTTTATTTATAGAGATTACCTGTGAATAATATGATATGGACTATAGGGATTACCTCTCATGAGGGGCCAAGTCTATTTGTCATGTCGTCGCATTAGGATTGGTATCATGTAATTATACTTGATTCAAATATTAGATTGCTCTTTATTGGGCATGTCAATTCATGGGCCCTTATATGGTCCATGACAATTGGGAAAGCAAGTCGAAACGAAAGAAAAAAACAAACTGAATTTGATAACATTGCTGGCCATGACAGTGTCGGCAGCATCTATAGGACCTTTGTATCATTGGACTTTTGCAGCCACCATATCAGCCGAAAAACTTGACTGTTTTGCTCCATTTCACATTTCGGTTTTTGCAGGAGTTTTTCATTTGGTTCTTAGGCATAAAAAAAAGTGTGTCAAAGTTGTAATGAAAAGAAAGAAGATAAGAGAGAGTGCCGAAGCACCAAGTGTGGGAAGAAAGAATAGTATAGTGTTCTGTTTGTGTGTGTCGTATTGAAAAGAATTGAGTAAGAGAAAGTGTCGTGAGAGAGAGAGTGATTGTGAGATTACAAGTTGAGTGTATTGCTGTATTTTGTCCTTTAGTCAACTAAATACGAAAGTCTTTTTCTAAATTATCTCTCTAAATTTCCAACACTATGTTGAAGCCATGCGCAGCTCGAACCATCAGATATGCACTTTGAGATTTGCCTTCGAAGACCCACTCATTCCTGCTACGCCAGATCGACCACGATAAATGAAAGAAAGGGAAAGGAAAGGACTGAAAGAAAAGCGAGAAAGAGGATCGAAGAAAAGAAAAGAAAAAATGCTATTGTAGATCAAATTTCTTTGGACCACATTGGTCTGTATAAGAAAACAAAAACGCTTTATGGATGTGTTTGGTAAAAGGTTATTTGAAGGATGACCGGTAAAGCTATCGTGGTAAACATGAATTATCACGTTTGGTACAACTAAACAAAATCCCTTTTACCAGATATCCTTGATTACCAATAATCTGATTAACAAAGAAAAATCACTGTTTAAATTACCAAAAAAAACATGATAATTCTGAATCCCAATGGAAGGGAAAGGACAACACCAATTTTGAGACAAATATACCCCGAGCACACATCTCCGCCCATGCTTTCTCAGTTGTATGAATTGCCGTGGCTTACGAAAACCTTCTTCGGAGGGCCAAAAACAACGCCACCGTAACTGCTGTGTTTGTGTGAAGGGGAGAGGGACACACATGCGAATAAAATTTAGTTGCATAGCCCACATAAATAATTAGGGTTTTATTAATGTTATATGACATAATTTAAGTGTTGTTTCTAACACACACAATAAAAGGGAGAGAGAAAGTGAAATGATGAAAGAGAAAGAAAAACATGTGGATCCCACCTCTTTAATGTGTGTGTAGAAAAATGATGTTATAGTATGTTACATGATAAACATAAAACCCAAATAATTAACCACAAATTCATTGATCCATTTCATTTATAAGACTAACAAATGCCAAAAAAAAAAAACAATATCGTGCTTGTACAAAATGCTGTTGAAGAATCATATTTTGAAAAGTTAAGGTTATTTTAGTAAAATCATCATATATTACCAGTAATATTTTATTATCGACCAAACATATACTCAGTAAAATTAATAAATATTTTCAGTAATATTTATGTTTACCAAACAACTTTTTTATATCATTCCCAGTAAATTGGATTTCTCATTATATTACGGGAAATCATGATCACCGGACACAAAAAAATTTCTCTTGTATCAAACACACCTTATAATTTAGTTCAAATGAGCCATGACATAAACTACAGTTGCACGATGCTTTACAGCTTTTCTGGGTATATTGTAACTTACGGGATAGTGGTGTTTTTGCTCATTTCCGATATGGAGAGGAGACATGGAAAACTGGATTTGTATGTATTTGACGTATAATTTGTTGTGCTTATGTTACATACATAACGAATTTAATAAATTTTTTTTAAATACAATTATTAAATTTATTTTTACCTTGAATGAAATCCATCGGCAGTGTTTGAAAATAAATCTACAAAATTGCGAAGGAATTCCATGCGTCTGTTTTTATCCCATTTTATTTATGGGAAATGTGTGTGCCATTTTAAACTATCCAAATTATGTTATTTCATATATATAAAGAGATGAAACTCACATCTTTATTTTTATTTTTTCAGTGGAACTCTCATTTTTTATATCAATGAAATGACATAATTTGTGTCATTTTAATTGACAAACATTTTTTTCTTTATTTATTTGAAAGCAACAATTTCCAATTCTCCTGGTTTTGCCCTTTCACTTTATTTACTTTATTTTTAAAATTCTTTTATTAGCATATCGAAAAATTTAAAAGATAAAATTTAATAAATGATTAAAGGTTAAAATTTCACATAAATGAAACATAGTCACGTGACATTTTTACTAACTACTTAACATATGTTTAACGGAAGAAACATATTACGGGGACGTTTGGTAGAAAAAAATTACTTTATACCTGAGAATCATGATTACTCGGAATATGCTAGGAAAGTGAATTTTTCGATAATGTGACCAAAAAGTCATTTGGTATGTCAAAATACTACCAGAAATATTAACTCAAGTTTCATGATTCTATATTTGGTTAATTATCAAATATTATTGAGAATGTAAGGTGATTTTAAAAACTACATGCTGGCATTAGTTAGGAATGTTCACAATTTAGATTGGATCGTTTTTGAAGCAAAAATCGTCCAACCCAGTCCCTTCATTTTGATCATTTAATCATTCATTCGGTTTGATTTTTTTTTTAAATCCCATCCAATTTATTCTGTTTGGATTGGATCGGTTTTCGATTTTTTATAAAGCCTAAAATTTCAGACCTACAAATCACTAGCTATATCAAACTAAAAGACATAAAAAGTTATTAACTATTGAAAAATTCAAGCCTTCAAACTAAAATAAGTCTTAAAACTCATGAAGAATTAAAATAGATTAATAGACAATAAAATACTAAAACAAGATAGTTTACTATCAATGAGATTCAAGATCCAAATCTACAAAACCAACAAGATTTCAAGCCACCATCTTTCAAAAATAATAAATACATAATACATTATATCAGTTTCGATTGGATCAATTTCCACCAACAAAACTGAAAACCAATCTAATCCAATTAAAATATGTATTTTTTTATTTTTTATTTTCGATTAATTCAATTATTAATTTTTCGGTTCGGTCACCGCAGTTTGAATGGTTGATGAACACCCCTAGCGCTAGTGGAGCCATTACCGCGCTAGTGGCACGGGAAGAAAAAAATTATTTAGCGCTAATGACACCATCACCCCACCTCTCAAGAATCCAAGAATACCACTCACCTAGTAGTATTCTTGGATTACATTTTGCCTTAAAAAGTGTTCACAAATCAAAAATCTGGTAAAATCATATTCTCGAAAAAAAATTTACAATCCTTATAGCAAACTGGATAAATAAAATTCCTAATGTCACGCTTCCGGGAATTTAAAAAAAAAAATATATATATATCCTTGTACCAAATATTTCCTAAAGAAAACTGAGTTTGATTTCCCCACATAGAGACGAAGTTTGTGATGCAACTAGGGCTAACGTAATAGTGAGGGAGGGTGGAAAGTGAATAGTATATGCATAGTTAGATTCTCAATATATATATTAATTTTTCACAGGTGACATGTCATTTGAAAAATTAATATAATTTTCTAAAATCTATAACCGTTGAATGGATAGAAATGAAAAGTTTAGATTCTAAAATCAAATGATTTCTCTTCATTTTATAGTGTTTAAACAGGACAAGGAAAGCTGCCCATGTCCTTGTCCTTTCATTCTTTATAAGGCATACTTTACCCCGATTATAAACCCAACCCTTCCATTTCTCATTTGGCAGCTTGAGTTTCCAGAGCGCCATATGGATTTGGATATCCTCCTCTCACAATCATCCATCTATGGCATATTACTGTTTCTCTTCGTTCTTTATTGGCTAATGAGAAGGCACGGAAGCCATACATGTGGAGATACAAAGGCACCACCAGAAGCTGACGGTGCTTGGCCTTTGATTGGGCACATCCACCTTTTAGGTGGGTCACAGCCACCTCATGTTACATTGGGTAGCATGGCAGATAAATATGGACCCGTCTTCAACATGCGGTTGGGTTCTCACAATCATCTGATTGTGAGTAGTTGGGAAATGGCTAAACAGTGCTTTACTGTGAACGACAAAGCGTTTGCTAGCCGTCCTAAATCTGTAGCCTTTGAAGTGTTGGGCTACAACTTTTCCATGTTAGGGTTCAGCCCCTACGGTTCCTATTGGCGTCAGGTACGCAAGATCGCCACCTTGGAGGTTCTTACCAATCACCGAATAGAGATGCTCAAGCATGTCATGGAATCGGAGGTGAAGAGTGCAATCAAAGAGAGTTACAGTTTTTGGGTAAAGATGAACAAGAGCGGTTCTGAAAAGGCGGTGACTGAGATGAAGAAATGGTTTGGGGATATAACACTAAACGTTCTGTTTAGAATGGTGGTGGGAAAACGTTTGTTTGGGATGGGTTGTGATGGTGACAGCGAAGTGAACGAACGGATCCGAAAAGCTCTAAAGGATTTGTTTCATCTGAGCGGTTCATTTATTGTCTCTGATGCACTTCCGTATTTGAGGTGGTTGGATTTGGATGGAAAAGAGAAAGAAATGAAAAGAACGGCAAAAGAGGTAGATGGGTTTGCTCAAGTTTGGCTCGAAGAACACAAACGAAACAGGAAGGGTAACCATGACTTCATGGACGTGCTTCTTTCCATTGTTGATGAAGATAAAGAGTTTGACGGTCTAGATTCCGATACCATAGTCAAATCCACGTGCCTGGTATGTATCGTCAACTCACATGTACTGAACTAAAGGGAACACTGAACTAAAATGCCACTGTTCATCAAGTTTTTTTATCTAAATGTCACGTGAACAGTATTATTTCTCCATCTAGACAAGTTAACTGCCCGGTGTAGCGAACTCCATACTTATTTTTTTTTATCTTGGTACTTGTTATCTACTAGAAATGTGACACGTCAGCAAACCGAGTTCGCTACACCGGGTAGCGAACTTGCCCCCGTGGCAGATTGAAAAATAACACTGTTCGCGTGGCATTTAGATAAAAAACTTGATGAACAGTGGCATTTTGATCGGTGTTCCCTGACTCAAGCTCAATTTTTATATACTTTTGTTTTTGACAAATATCTTTTTTCGGATCACTATTTCTCATCATTTTATCTCAAGTTGTCGGAGAAATATTTTTTTCATATATATATATATATATATATATATATATATATATATATATATGGGAAAAGTATTTCTCCAGTCACCGGAGATAAAATAATCTCCAGTAAATTTAAAACGACGTCGTTTTGGGATATAAAATTAAAAAATTATAATGATAAAGACTAATATAACCCAGACATATATTATAATTACAAAAATAACTTGATTTTCGCCCCAAAACGACATTATTTTGGGTTCACATGAGATAATTTATCTCCATTAAATGGAGAAATCCTATATCCTATATATATATGAGGTAGGATCATCTGACACCAATGTCAAATTTGAAATTTGACACCTCATCTGAGAGCCATTAGATCAAAAAAGATCAATGGTGTCACATGTTTACAAATCAGAGGCGTTGATCTTTTTTGATCTAACAGCTCTCAGATGAGGTGTCAAATTTTTGACACTGGTGTCAAAGGATCCTACCTCATATATATATATATATATATATATATATATATATATATATATATATATATATATATATATGGGGAGAGATCATTTGACTCCAGAGTAAGATTTATAAGTCTTACTCCTCATCCTAACCGTTGATTTCCGTACATCCAACGGTTATAATTTAGGAAGTTATATTAATTAATTAATTATTAATTACACTATAAATGACAATCATTGATTTCCGTCCATCAACGGCTGAGATGAGAAGTAAGACTTAAAAAACTTACTCTGGAGTCAAAAAAACCCTCCCCTATATATATATATGAGGTAGGATCATTTGACACTGGTGTCAATCTAAGAGCCATTAGATCAAGAAAAATCAACGGCTCTGATTTCTAAGCATGTGACACAATTGATTTTTTTTTATCTAAGGGCTCTAATGTAAGGTGTCAAGATTGAAATTTGACACTGGTGTTAAATGATCCTACCTCTATATATATATTATTAGGAGATAAGTTATCTCATGTTATAGAGACAAACTTGTGAGTTTCACCACTTGAAAAAAAACTTATCTCATGTAACATGAGAATAATTTTTCCCATATATATAAATAAGAAATAATTTTATCTCTTGTGATATAAAAAATATTAATTTATATCTTTTTAATGGGTAATTAATTTTTTCCGTTAATGAAAAAAAATGTCTTTCTGTTAACACAAAATATGATAAGGTCCGTTGTAAAGAAAAAAGAAAAAAAATGATTGACACCATACTTTATTTTATGTCAGACTGGAGGTGACAAAATGGGCTCAGCCCGCCGGTTCGGCCCGCCCCACCTGCCAAACGGGACTGGGTGGGCGGAGTTTTCCAAACCCGCTGCCTGCCAGCCCGCCCGGGCTGAATTTTTTTATTTATTTTTTAAATTTTAGTGTAAAATGTAATGGACTTGGCAGTAGCCCGCCCAAAGGGGCGGGGCGGGCTAAGATTTCTAGCTCACCTTTGAAGGTGGGGCGGGGCGGCCAACCCGCTTTTTGGTGGGCTTATGGCGGGCAGCCCGCTTTGCCACCTCTATGTCAGACACATTTTTGCTTCACCAACAGATCAAATTGATTACCCAAACCTGTTATACTTAATAAAAGAGAGAGTACTAAAAAAGAAAGAAAGAAAATTTTGTTTGTTTTATAATATAAAATACGGAAAAGGGTATCGTTTTAAAGGATGTAAAATTGTGTCATTTTAAGTGAGAGAAAGAGATAGATAAAGGAAGAAAGAGAGAGCGGACAAAAAAATAGAAAGGTGTGGGTCTCACCTCTTTGTGAGAGTGAAATGACACAAATTGTGTTATTTAAAAGGACAAATATTTTTTCCTATAAAAAATGGATAAAATATTTTTCTAGTTAGCGGTAATAGATTTAATGATCTCAAAATTATATCATTTTGAATTAACAAAAGTTGTTTTTGTAATTTTATTTTATCTTATGAATTTTACTGAAACACATTTCATCAATTTCTCTAAAATTATAAAAATATTCTTTATTAATTTAAAACGATATAATTTTGGATTATTAAAAATAACTTATATCGAGAAACGGAAGAAATATTTTATCCATGAAAAAATATGAAGCACAATTATGTTTATTATATTTTATTTCTAGGAAAAAAAGAAGGCACTTATCTTCACGTTTGGGGCTAGGGCCACATCGCGTAAAACGTGAATCGAGCCCCCTTGCCGGCCGCTAATTAATATTAGAGAAGTACTACTCTTATCTTACATGAGATAATTATCTCATTTTCTCTCACTTCGAAAATTGCACCCTTTCTTTTTTCTTTTCTTTTTTTTGCTTTTTAATTGTGGACCCCACTTAAACTCTCTCTACAACATAAGAGAACTACTCCTATGTAACATAAGACTAATAATATTCCCCTTAATATTATTATAAGATTATCACCGGCAAAAAAATTAATTTATTACTTTTTTAATAAAAAATTACGAATAAGTTGTCGTTTTGCAAAAAATTACAAATCTATAGCACCTAAACACGCCCACATGGGGCGTGTTCTGATGGAGAGAGACACGCCCATGTGGGGCGTGAGCTTGTGAAAGAAACACGCCCAAGGTAGGGCGTGTGTGGCAGGAGAGAGACACGCCTAGGGTAGGGCGTGAGCTTATAAAGCAAACACGGCCAAGGAAGGGCGTGTTCCAGGAGAGAGACACGCCCACGATAGGGCATGTTATCCGCGGTGTATATAAATCTGTTTTTCACTTTTTTACCTCATTTCCACCCTCTCATCCTCTCTCTAAACCTCCTCCTCCTCCTTCTCTCTAAATTTCTTTTGGAGAGTTTTGCGCAGCGAAGCTCTGTCTCTCTCTCATGTAAGTCCCTATTTATTGTTTATTTCTGACCAAAAAGGATCAACAGGTGCATCGCCTACATGTACTACGTAATAATAATAATAGAATTGAATTATTTTCTTAATCAAAAATTGCAACAACCAAACTGTCAGTATATTAATTGATAGCATACCTTCAGGATGTTCTGGTACTTGACTCGATGTTGTGCCATGATGTACAACGATACGAGACTCCCCCAAATCATGCACTGGTTGAAGTTCAGTACCAGACCTGCCACATTCTTCGTCATTGTCCGATGCACTCGCATCCTCTAAAAGAAGACGATCCTCTATTGCAATATTTTCCTCATCATCTTCGTCATACTCCTCATCCATAACCCAAGTAGGGTCATGTTCATCTTCCTCAGACATGTTAACAGCAGGAACAACAGGAACAGCAGATGATGATGCATTAAGAGGAGAAGTAGACCTAACTGACCTCATTGGTATGACAACTTCCTCTGCGGTTGTAGTATCCACATACAACTCTAAGAAATCCTTTCTACACTGGTTCAAGAACTCTTCCATTACCATATCGATGTCTTCGTCATCGACCACTTGCAAGCTAATGTATTGTTCACATTGCCATAACCTTGCCGTGACAAGAGTGATCAATTGGTTGTCTTGAAGACATAATTTTTGACGTATTTTCTGATGCAGCTCAGCAACTGTTGAGTTTCGTTTAATACGTGATGGCATTTTCTCCCTTACAAAAATAACACCACGACGACCTTCTTCTTTCCTACCGTTAAAATATAGAAAGACACGAATAGTATCAGAATTCGCACTCATTTTTAAAAACAAAATTTTAAAACATAAAACAAAATATGAGTAAACAAGTGCAAACTATCGGAGAGTTTAACATAACAATGACAGAATTGTGAAGAGTGTGTAGGGGGTGGGTGTTTAAATAGCAGTCAGTTTAGTCACTCACGCCCATATTTGGGCGTGTCAACCCACTGAACACGCCTTATCTTAGGCGTGACCACACACGCCCTACGTAGGGCGTGTTTCCTTCACAAGCTCACGCCCCACATGGACGTGTCTCTCTCCATCAGAACACGCCCCATGTAGGCGTGTTTGGGTGCTATAGATTCGTAATTTTTTGCAAAAAGACAACTTATTCGTAATTTTTTATTAAAAAAGTAATAAATTAATTTTTTTGCCGATTATCACCATCTTTTTAGAAATTTATTTATTTTATCAGCTCTAGGAACGGCTTGCATGACAGAATTGCCGTTTTCTAAATTTGCAAACTATTGTCTTCTTATTTATATGAATAGGTGGATGAACTGTTTAGTATTTGGAGTTCATTAACCCGTTATGGGTTTTTTAAATTTATGGATGAAATATTTAGTTATTGTTAGCTACGAAAATATATTGTAGGAATTAACAGCTAAAATCATCACAGTATATTAAAACAATTCTTTTTGAAGTCTATGAATAAGAATATATTTATTTTTAATTTAGTTAAGGTACATTGTAATCTTAACTCATCAATTAATTTAAGATGACTTCATTTTTATTTATTCACCAAACAAATATATTTAGAAGGTTTAACGAAAGTGTATTTCCACATTGCATGGAGCAATCAAAGCGAAGAAAAGCCAACTCACCAGTTTGGGAAAAACAGAGTTAGGTTGGGTTTATATTCATTTCTCACAATAGTTCACGAAAAAAATTGACAACTCACCGTGATAAGTTAACTATGTTAGTTCATCAAAAGTTTTAAAAAGAGATCACATCAAACAACTACGGCACCATATATAAAGCTTTAGTTAATGTTAACCAAACTTAATAGTCAGTTACTTTTCAGTAGCATATAGAGATTAATAAAGTATTTAACAAGTTTAACTCAATCCACTATTTTAGACTTTTAGTGTGTTGGATTGACTTGATCCATTAAGTATAGATACAGTTCACTTTGATACTAATTAGCACGAGGATTGCAAAATAAAAATTAAAATTAAAATTAAAATTTCATTTGTATACATAAATATCTTAAATATAGATACATTTATCTTTGAAAAATTCAAATGGTCGCTTTAAAATTTTTAACTACTATGAATTTTATACTTTGTACCCGCCAGATCTCATGAATCTTATCGATTGATAATCTTTTTAATTTTAAAGGAATTTTCCATTTATTCTGATCATAAATTTAGAGACTACTGACGGAAACTACAGCTTGAGAAAATTGCTCAGGACTTTGTTTTGCCTTTACAAGAAGGTGAAGATAAAACATTTATATACATATGTTCCAATAGATTTTTATTTCACGACATTGATTTATTTTGTGACATTTTATCTCAACTAGATTGGTATATATAAGGTTTTTACATACTCTACTGCGCAGACACTAATTTTAGCAGGCACGGACACTACAACAGGAACATTGACCTGGAGTCTCTCGTTACTTCTCAACAACCGTGAAGTCCTAAATAAGGCCAAACACGAATTAGACACACAGATTGGGAGGGAAAAGATAGCGCTGGAATCAGACTTGAATAAGCTTGAATATCTCCAAGCCATAATCAAAGAAACACTGCGCTTGTACCCAGCTGCACCACTCAATGCGCCACATGAGTCCATGGAAGATTGCATCGTGGGTGGATACCATGTGCCAACTGGCACGCGTCTCTTGACTAACATTTCAAGACTTCAACGAGATCCACTGGTATATGATGATCCCTCGGAGTTTCGGCCAGAGAGATTCCTCACAACCCACAAGGGCGTTGATTTCAAGGGCCAGAATTTTGAATTGATTCCATTTGGTGCAGGCAGAAGAATGTGTCCTGGACTCTCATTTGGTCTTCAATTAATGCAACTCACTCTTGCTACTCTGCTACATGGTTTTGACATTGAAACTCTTGATGGGGGACCAGTTGATATGCTTGAACAAACTGGGCTAACCAACATCAAAGCCTCTCCACTCCAAGTCATTCTCACGCCACGTCTATCTGCCCAAGTTTATGGAGATTAGTGCACTTGGCTACCTCCCATGAAGGGTTAAATAAACGTGCATGAAAAGCTACTCCTCTTGATGTTCTCATCAAACCACGTTTTTCTTCCATGCTTTTTGATTTAATAGTATGATCGCATTATTAGGTGCTTATATAAATATGTTAAAGCATAGGAGGGTTCAAGCACCCAACTAGTAAAATCTTTTCGAATTGGGATTGCATGTATTCTTCACGAATAAATTAACACCGAATGTTGCATGTTTGAAGAATGAAACTTTATTAAGTGCATAAACATAAGCTTTATTTGTTTGGACCTGTTCTATATCAATGTAATATGTTAAAATTGAAGAGAATATATAAAGACTGATGAGAGGAATCGGAGGGCATGTAAAAAGTTTCAGAATCAGATTTTTTATTGCAGTGGGGAAATAGTAAGTGCCTTATACGATTGAAGGTCAAAGAAAAAGTGCCGAGTCCGCAACACCTTCAGCCCCCATGAGAACGAAGCAAGCTAGTTTTAAAACTTGTTGAAGTCATGGCGTGAAAAGGACGAGTGGAAAAATGAGTTTGTTTGATAATACCATATTACTCATTTGCAATATGGAGACCGGAAAACTTTTAATAATTTTATTTTTAAAATAAAATTATTAATTTTTCTTTTACCATGAATGAAATCCAGCGGTAGTCTTTTGAATTTGAAAATAAAACTAAGAAATTGCGAAGGGCTTCCATGCGTCCGTGTTTACCCCATTTTATTTATTTGAAAGTAACAATTTCCAATTCTCTTGGTTTTGCCCTTTCACTTTTTTACTATTTTTTAAATTCTTTTATTAGCATATCGAAATTTTTTAAAAATAAAATTAAAAATAAATGATTAAAGGTTAAAATTTCACATAAATAAAACTTAGTCACGTGGCATTTTTATTAACTACTTAGCATATGTTTAACAGAAGAAACACAAAATAAGATAAATAAATTATGGGGAATGTATATGTAATGTTACAGAAAAATAACAAATTGTCCTGCGGAGACAATATTTTGAGAGAGAGAAAATGATATAAAGAGAGAGAAAAGCAATGTACGGGTCCCGAAAAAAAACTGTGTCCGTAGGAAAAACAAAAAAATTTCTGTAACATTACGGATGGATTACCCATAAATTATTTTATTTGATTGTGGGAGAGTTCGTTGATTTATGGAATTGATCATTATACCATTATTAAATGATAAAAGTGTGTATCATTTTAAAGGATATGAAGTTGTGTCATTTTAAGTGAGAAACAGAGATAAATCATGGGACAGAGTGGGGAGGAAAAGTTTTAAAGATGTGAATCTCACCTCTTTGTGAGAGTGAAAGGATATAAAGTGTGTCATTTAAAATGGCAGACCTTTCCCTTATTAAATAGTGCAAAAAAGAGAAAGATAAAAAGAGCAATCGGAAATATTATATATGTGATTAATCGATATTTGAAATAAAAAATGAAAGTAGGTAGCGTTTGGTAGAGGATAATTATTTTGTGTCCAAGAATCATAATTTTCAAGAATATAGTGGGATAGTCACTTTTTAGAGAATGTTACCAAAAAACTGTTTGTTATGCTAAAATAATATCAAAATTTTGTTTCAAAAAAGTGTAAAAAAATTTCAAAACCTGTGATTTCAAAAATACCACCGCTTTAGTGATATTTTTAGATGATATTTTGGAATGAAAATTATATACAAAACAAAATTCAACAAAATCAGATTTTCAGAAAAAAAAATTCTTATATCTTATATCAAATGTGAATAAATAAGATTATCATTATTACTTTCCCGATGTTTCAAAAAAATTTCCCAACCAAACACTTATTAAAAGAAACTGAGTATGATTTCCCCACATACAATGTTATTAAAATATGCATGACCCGGTGATTACCAAGAAAAAAATATGCATGACCCGGTAATTGGCTTTTTGACCCTTATACCCCTTAATTAATAATTAATTACCAAATTGCCCCTCATTCAAAACTATTTCGAAAATTTACCCTCCCCAACAAACATAACACCAATCTGCCCCTGTTTGACCGTTGACCACGAAGCCTACCCGGGTACACCATTACCTACCCGGGTAAATTTTGAAACTTTTTATCTACCCGAGTATGTAGGGGTGTACCCGGGTATAGTTCTTGAATCTGGGAAAATGTTTGAATTATTTACCCGGGTAAGGAGCAGTGTACCCGGGTAAACATCGACGGTAGGGTTTTAAAATACCCCAGCAGCCCCATTTCGAAAACCCACAAAAGGGGTACCCGAGTAGAGCTGCTGGAGGAGTGTCATCTTGAGCGATTTCAGGCATAATCTTGCACTAATTCGTCTTGTTTGTGATCATCATTCGCGGACCTTGCAACCTCTCTGCCTTCTACCGATTGAAATCGATCAAAGGTGCATTTTTTTTTTCAGTTTTTTCAATTATGTTATGATTTCTGTTCTGATTCATTGTATTTTCGTTTATATCATTTGATTCTGTCCGAATTATTTTATCAATTTGTATGTCATACGCTTACCCTAACCCTAACCCTAACCCTGAATCTAACCCTAACCCTAACATGTATCTAATTTCTGATTTTGGTTATTTTTTCAGTTTAATAGTGTGACACAATGACCTCTCGACGCGTTTCAAAGCTGCAAGTGACCCATTCCGAGAGAAGAACCAAGAGTCGTCACGATGGGTCGTCATCCTCTCAGCCCCAGGCTGCTTCGAGTCAGGCTCCGGACTTGACGTTCGGATATTTGTTTGAGGATGACATTCCTTCACACGAGAAGTTTGAGAAGTTTTTCATGACCCGGAAGATCTGCGAACCGAAATCACTGGATTCAGCATTCTTCAACCTAGAGCGTTTTGACATTGTGTCGCTTCTTGAGCAGACACATTTACTTCACCTGGCGGAGATGCGGTGCCCATACTCGGAGGTTATGGTAAGAGCCTTCTACCAGAACCTTGGCTACTCGCAAGGCGAGCTGACTTCCCGTGTCTGCGGGATTGATATCATCATGACTGCTCCTATCTGGACGGAGCTACTGGGGTTCGATTTTGATGGTGTCACAGGAGCAGCACTATATGATGGAGACAGCCATCATATATTTGGTGATTATAACCGGGAGACCATTGTTACAGAGACTAGGAGGGCAGACGCTGAGCCCGGTCATTTTGCTCATTATCCTGTTAGCAACTTGTCAGTTTCTGCTCGCATTCTTCATTATGTGGTGACACATATTATTTTCCAGCGCCCGCATAATCACTCAAAGGTGCTGGAAGGGGACTTTGTCATCCTGTGGGCCCTCCTTCACAGTCAGCAGGTGAACTGGAGGCATTACATATGCATACTGATGTGGAAGGCAGCCAAGTCAAAGAAGGCTGAATTGCCTTTTGCATTTCTGGTGCAGAAGATTCTGCATAGATTTGGAGTGCCTATGGCAACAGAGACCTTGAAGACCGCCAGAGGCTGGAATGCTATATTTGGTGAGAGGCTCCTGAAGCAGTGTGGGATCCTACCGAACAGAGCGGGTATCTGGACGTGGAAGAAGGCACCAGAACCACCTGAGATCCCATTCCACCACGATGCTGAGATGGAGGATGCACCTGCAGGTGATGTGTTGGTCTTTATGAGTTTATGCAATTTTGTGTTGTTTAATTTTTAATGTGGTATTGAAGTTTGTTTTTCATGGTTTATGATGTAGGCCTTGATGATGATGACGATGATGATGGCGTTGCTGAGGTTGATGTCAGACCGACACGTCCCACCCGCAGTCGGCGACCACCAGCTCCTCCTGAGGGTGGATGGACACTTGATCATGTCATGGCATCCTTATATGATCTGACTACTGACTTTAGAGGATATAGACAGAGCACGAGCAAGTGGCGAAACCAGATGGACACAAGGGTTGCACGGTTGGACACAAGGGTTTCACGCTTGGAGGGTTTAATTGGCGAGGGTGCCCATACTCAGGAGGAGGAGGAGGAGGATGATGACAATGGGGATGACACACAATCGGATGAAGAGAATGGGGAGGACACGCCATCGAATTAGTGTGTCCATAGGGTTTCATATCATTGATTTAGTTTGATGTAATGTAGTCATTTTGGTACATTTAGGAACTTTACCTACATTGCATGGATGTTTTTGTACTGGATGTTCAAAATTTGAATGAATGAAATTTTCGTTTTGCGCACGTTCAGACTTGTTGGTTCTATGCATTAGTATGGGACCTTGCATTAATATTGTCATAATTAATTTGGAAATCAATTCAACCCAAAGTACTTTAATATTCATGTTCAACTTTCATTGGCGCACATCTTGATTACTGCATCCTATTTCTACGAAATCAATCCACCCCCAAGTCATACCGTATATAGGTATTGCACAACAATTACCAAAATGCAACAAAAATTGCCAAAACAGCATCTGCAACAGCATCTGCAACTGGTCTACCCGGGTACCACGAACTGGTCTACCCGGGTAGGATGTACTCGGGTATATCATTTCGAGTTACCCGGGTAGACCAGTTGCAGATGCAGCAGCAGGTGCTGTTCAATCCATTTTTTTAGCATCTTGGTAATTGATGTGTAATACAATAACCTTAACTGACTCGGGGAAGGGGTAAATGGGTATGGTAGACATTCGGATTGCACAATACGGAACGAGTGACTCGCTAAACTTAACGGATAAATTTCAACAATACATTTCAACAACACAAGAATACAGTTCAACAATACATTTCAACAACACAATACATAACTAATACAAGATAAAGTTTAGGGTACAAGGAAACAAAACAATACGTAAAGTGATTGTCATTACAAAACAAAGTACTACACAAAAACAATACGTAATCATGCTTGTCTTAGTCTCAATGGACATGTACGAATGTTATGTCCAACTTGCTTGCAATGCTTACATCTGCTCTGACTGCTAGAGGGTTGAGACTCAACCCAATCCATCTCATTCTGAATCCTTGAAGACTTTGGTCTTCCTTTTGCACGTACCAACTGAGCATCCAGAATTACAGTAGGCCCAACAACGGATGGAATCAACAATTCATTGCCAATAGGAAACCAGTGTGCAGCATATACTTTAGCAATGGTTGGAATTTTGAAAACATGATCCACATAATCATAATGGTTTAGCTTGGCTACCTTGCAAACTGCTAATACATGACTGCAGGGATACCTCCTTGCTGTAAACCTACCACACTGACATGTACGATTGAT